AGGAGCTGCACCAGGGGAAGACTCAGAAGACTGTGCCCTCACTGCCAGGATGGTACATAAGTTTCCCTGCCTCCTGATGCCACTCTGGGGGTGCGGAAGGAGGAAGAGCTCACCATAAAAATAAGTTGGACCAACGGCATATTTCACAGATCTAGAACGAACTCTCCAAAAATTCATCTGGAATAAAAAAAGACCCCAAATAGCTGCAGCGATCTTGAGAAAGAACAAAGTAGGTGGGATCTCAATACCAGATATCAAGCTATATTACAAAGCCACTGTTCTCAAAACTGTCTGGTACTGGCACAAGAACAGACATATAGATCAATGGAATAGAATAGAGAGCCCAGAAATCGGCCCGAACCAATATGCTCAATTAATATTTGACAAAGGAGGCAAGAACATACAATGGAGCCAAGATAGTCTCTTCAATAAATGGTGTTGGGAAAATTGGACAGATATATGCAAGAAAATGAAACTAGACCACCAACTTACACCATACACAAGAATAAACTCAAAATGGATAAAGGACTTAAATGTACGACAGGAAACCATAAAAATTCTAGAAGAATCCAAAGGCAACAAAATCTCAGACATATGCCAAAGCAATTTCTTCACTGATACAGCTCCTAGGGCACTTGAAACTAAAGAGAAAATGAACAAATGGGACTACATCAAAATAAAAAGCTTCTGCACAGCAAAAGAAACCATCAACAAAACAACAAGAAAACCCACTGCATGGGAAAACATATTTGCCAACGTCATATCTGATAAGGGCCTAATCTCCAAAATTTATAGGGAACTCATACAACTTAACAAAAAGAAGATAAACAATCCAATCAAAAAATGGGCAAAGGATCTAAATAGACACCTTTCAAAAGAGGACATTCAGAAAGCCAAGAGACATATGAAAACATGCTCAAAGTCACTAATCATCCGAGAGATGCAAATCAAAACAACAATGAGGTACCATCTCACACCTGTCAGAATGGCTATCATCAACAAATCAACAAACGACAAGTGCTGGAGAGGATGTGGAGAAAAAGGAACACTTGTGCACTGCTGGTGGGAATGCAGACTGGTGCAGCCACTATGGAAGACAGTATGGAGTTTCCTCAAAAAACTGGAAATGGAACTCCCATTTGACCCTGTGATCCCACTTCTAGGAATATATCCCAAGAAACCAGAAACACCAATCAGAAAGGATATGTGCACCCATATGTTCATAGCAGCACAATTCACCATAGCTAAGATCTGGAAACAGCCTAAGTGCCCATCAGTAGATGAATGGATTAGAAAACTGTGGTACATCTACACGATGGAATACTATGCTGCTGTAAAAAAGAAGGAACTCTTACCATTTGCAACAGCATGGATGGAACTGGAGAGCATTATGCTAAGTGAAATAAGCCAGTCAATGAAGGAAAAATACCACATGATCTCACACATTCATGGATAATAGAGACCATTATAAACTTTTGAACAATAATAGATACAGAGGCAGAGCTGCCTCAAACAGATTGTCAAACTGCAGCGGGAAGGCTGGGGAGGGTTGGGGGGCAGGAGGGAAGGGGGTAAGAGATCAACCGAAGGACTTGTATGCATGCATATAAGCATAACCAATGGACATAAGACACTGGGGGGTAGGGGAGGCCAGGGGATTGTCAAGGGTGGGGGGAAAAAGGAGACATATGTAATACCCTTTGTAATACTTTAAGCAATAAAAAATAAAATAAATAAATATTGTTAATTAATAAGAGAAAAACATAAGTTGGATTATATCTATTTTCAACAATATTTGGGGGAAACAAGCACTCCCATATAACATTAGTGGGAGTAAATTATTGTAAGCTGTTTGGATGGATATTGATCAGTAAGGAAATGTAAAATGTCTATACCTTTCAATCCAACAATTCCACTTCTAGGAGTTTCTAGTACAGATGTCCCAGATGCAAGGGTGTACATTCAAGCATGTTTATTACTGCACAGTTTATAACAGCAAAAGACTAGAAACAACTTTGATGTCCATTAATAAATAAGTTACATACATGCATACAATAAACTATCAGAAAACCATTTTTTAAATGAAGCCAATCATCTATCTGATATTCAAAAATATGTAAAAAATATTAAGAAAACACCTGGCCGGTGTTGCTTAGTGGTTGAGTGTCAACCTATGAACCAGGAGGTCACAATTCAATTCTATCAGGGCACATGCCCAAGTTGCAGGCTCAATCAATAATAGGAGGCGTGCAGGGGAAGCCAATCAATGATTCTCATCAATGATGAGAATCTTTCCCTCTTCCGTCCTCTCTGAAATAAAAAATATATTATTTAAGCCCTAGCCGGTTTGGCTCAGTGGATAGAACGTTGGCCAATGGACTGAAGGGTCCCGGGTTCAATTCCAGTCAAGGGCACATGCTCAAGTTGCAGGCTTAATCCCCAGTGGGGGCGTGCAGGACACAGCTGATCAATGATTCTCTCTCATCATTGATGTTTCTATCTCTCCCTCTCCCTTCCTCTCTGAAATCAATAAAAATACTTTTTTTTTAAAGAAAACAAGGTGAAGAATAATATAGATTTTATCTTGTTTTTGTTGATAAAGGCCTTTCACATGTTGGGGGAGCTTATATAACAAAAAAATTCCTAGAGGGATATATAAAATACTGGTAACAACAGTTATTTATTGGGGTGATGTAATGGGGAGGAGAAAGAAAATATGGTTTTCACTTTAAACTTTTCTGAACTGTTGGGAAAAAACCACGAGCATGATATTATTAAAAGTGGTTTTTTAAAACACTAGTAAGAAATAAGAGTAATGCCTCTGCAAAGTGTGTGCTAACCAAGACGGCTGAACCTCTGCCAGCCTGTGGGAACACCCACGGAGGGATCTTCATCAGGTCAGGGCAAAGGACCTGAAAGTCGGGCATCACGCTAGTGAGGGAGAGGAATGGGAGAAACCGTTCTTCCAAAGAACTGTGCCCTCGCTGCCTACTCAGAGTATAAGGGCATGCCCACACCCAAGCTGGAAGCTGTCTGGGTTCTGCAACAAGATCCTTTTGATAAATTCATGAATGAGTCTCAGGAGTTGGACCCAGTTTCTCTGAGTTAACATTTTATAAGCCCTAATTTTTTTCTAATTTACATTAAAGTTCACGTTCCAGGACATATGGATAAGAGCACAGAAATTCTTAATATAACAGACAACAACAACCACAACAAAACCAGATTTGTAATCTTGAGAAAATGACACAAAGTTTCTTCACTCATGTCCTTAATACAACAGAGGACTGGGTGATGAGTGAGAAGACCTTTGCCGGTTCCTAGAAGCAGTGAGCCACTGCGTCAGGCTTACATGCTGAATTTTACACAACTCTTTTTCCAGAACCAGATGCCACTCATCATTAGATTGGCACTGGTCAGTAGTCATACGTTAATCTTTATACCACTTTTATAAAACACTATGAGTTTTCAGTTGTTTGTTCAGATTTACTAATGGCAGAGACAAAGCTCTTTAGCAGCAAATTCTTCACAAGTTTTAAATGTTTTCTTCTATTAACTGTTGAAATGCATCTTACTTTAGAGACAGATTTATACTTCAAAATTGTGTGCAGCCTAAGGAACATATTTCATGACATTTAAGAACCAAAGTCAAAGAACCACTTACTATAAGTACATTTTCCTGGGAAATTGTCTAAATATTTTAAACTATGTAAACAAAAATATCAAAACTTGTAGTTAAGGGATAAAAGCTAGGCATTGGTTATTTTTTTCTCAGACATGTTTGTTCATTCTCATTATCCTGCGAGTCATTCTCTACAGAGCTTCCTGGTATCTCTGTCCTGCTACTTCTTATCAGATGCTTGTCCCAATTCTCTTCCAGCCTCACCCCACAGCCTGACCTCTCTGGAACTCACACGCTCACTGCTGTCCATTTTCATCTCACACATCTTTCCTGCCATCTCCCGGCAGCGCCCATTGCTCACAACAGTCATGGTTGTTAGCTGTCTGGCTGTCTTTCCTGCACTGGCCAGATAGTTTGCTCTTCAGAGATAGGAGAGGGGAGGGGGGACAAAGGGAAGGGAGAGAGAGGGAGGGGGAAAAAGAGAACTAGGAATAAATATGTTGGTTGCCAGAGTGCCATCCACATTCCGTCTCTTCCTTCTCCCACTCAAAACCCTGTCCAGATTAATTTCTTCATATTTGGAAAAAGAAAAGAATCCCCCGAGTGACATAATATGTGATCTCCAATGAGAAGCTGATTGATCGCCTACGTTTCAGGGCCGTGGGAAAGTTGGCACGGAGGGTAAATGGATTTCAGGGCCGGCAATGAATCTGTGAGGTGCATTTCAGAAGCTCTCCTCCAAACCATAAATAAAAGCAGGGTGACTGCAGCCTGGCAGGGGGGACCAGACAAAACTCCATGCCCACCCAGGACCACTAGTCAATACCCTCGTCACAACGCCTCAGAGAGAGGTTTTCCAAAGGGACTTCTCCAAGAGCTCATCAGGGGAAAAAATAAAAATATTTAAAAGGGCAGGTCAAAACACCAGAGCTTGCAAACAATTACTCAGAAAAAATATATATTTATCTTATAGAGTTTGAGGGTGGAAAAGAACAACACACTCTTCAGTAAAGAGACAGCAAGATTTTAGTTTCAAAATATGCCCCCAAGACTGCATCTCCCACCCTGAACCATTTACTAGCAACCCCACAACCAGAAGGAACCAGGCACCTGGTGACTATGTATAACACATATTTAACCATCTAATCCAATTCCCGTGTGAATATGGAACATGAGGGTAAGCTGGTGGAGAGGGAGAGACACGAAGGCCAGCAAATAAGAGAGAGGCCACACAGCTCTCACTGGGAGAGAGAAGCCCCGCCCACCCACAGATGTTCAACTAAAGCAGTTTCTTCCCTGGCAGGAAAAACTCTGTGGAGAAACAGAATCTGTCTTTGGACACTTTATAGCAAAGGTGAACCCACAGGTTGACACTTACATTTCATTTGCTTGAAGATGGACTTGTTAGGTTCAAGCCAGTGCTGGGGAGAAAAAAACAGAGATTGCGGGTCAAATGGCTGGACCATATGATGCATACTTAATAACTAAAAGGAATTTAATAAAGATACTCTTTTTCTAAAGTACAGCCTTGGTTCCTATAGATATTCCTCAGGGTTCCACTTCTGAAGATCCACATGAACAATTCAGCAACAATAATACCATAGGCAAGGGTATAAACTGCAGAGAATTAACACTTGCTGAGCAGTGTTTGAGTCAGACAGTTGCTAGGGGAGAAGGACAAGAGAGCGAACATGCACCTAAATGGGATGTTCTCGTGGCTCTAGTTGAATCCTCAGTGATCCTTTGAGCTCCATTGCTCTAGGAAAACCAGAGACAACTAAAGACTTGGACATCATTGACCTCAGAGTCACAATCCAAGACAGCATCAGCACCCTGCCCACCCCTCCTTCCCCGAGGCAGCCTCCTCCCAGGTTAACAGTGGGTCAAGCCAGCATCAGCCCCGTCATTCACAGAGCCGATTCTTACTTTGGAGTAGGGAGGAGAAAATGATTTTTAATATCTCATTTAAGAGGCCTGAGGTCATCATGAAGGAAAAATCAGCTCCCTCACAAAACAAAGGAGCTCAAAGACTTGGGCAGGCGTCTGAAGCAGACTTCTTGCTGGCCCCAGCGGCCAGCTCTCTCTACACCATGTGCGACGGTCACTTCAACATGTTGAGATCTGGGAAGTTTTTGATATCACATGATGTCCCTGAAGCCACTTAGGGAATTTCAGGAAGCATCACTTTATACACCTACTAGAGGGAACGGAGACCCTTCTCACACACTGTGAGGAAGGAGGTCTCCTGGCCCCACAAACAACGTCAGTGAGGGAGATTTTCATATGCTGTGTTGACAGCCCAGAGCCCCTACCCTGGCCTCCCATTGCAGCGAGAGTGTTTAAAGCACTGCTTTTCAAATAGATTGCAACCATCAAAGGGTCATAAAAATCAATAGAACTATGTCTTACATCTTGACAGTGGTTTGGGCTATACAGGAACAGCTTTTGTCAAATCTCAGAGAGTATAAGTTTAAGATTTGTGTATTTCCTTGTATGTAAGGAAATTGAACCCTACTTAATGATACGTATGCTGAAGTATTTAAAGGAAGTACACTACTGTCTATAATTTATTTTTAAATCCATCCAAAATTTATAAAGAACTCTAAAAACTCATCAATGAGAAATTAAACAACACAATTATAAAATAACTAGGGGCCCTGTGCACAAAAATTTGTGCACTGGGGAGGGGGTTCCCTCAGCCCAGCTTGCCCCCTATCACATACTGGGAGCCCTAGGGGATGTCCTACTACCTGCTCCCTGCTCCCTTGGGGAGTGGGCCTAAGCCACAGTCTGGCCACCCTTTGTGGGAGTCGACCGGGCTGATCAGGGGAAGGCACCAGCCCCATCACCGCACTGTTGCAGCCACTGCAAGTCAACAATTGCTGGCTGGCTCCGCCCTGGTTCCCCGCCTCTGCCGCCATCAACAATTGTTGGCTGGCTCCTCCCTGGCCCAGGCCTAAAGCCTCTGCTGGAGGCTTTAGGTCTGGGCCGGGGCACCCCCAGCTCCCACCGCGAAAGATCGCTGGCTGGCTCCTCCCCACCCAAGCCTAAAGCCTCAGGCCGAGGTTTTAGGCCTGGGCCGGGGCACCCCCAGCTCCCGCCGCAGCCGATCGCTGGCTGGCTCCTCCCCGGCCTAGGCCTAAAGCCTCAGTCTGTGGCTTGGAGCCGACATATGCAAATTAGCCGCCATCTTGGTTGTCAGTTAATTTGCATATACTCACTGATTAGCCAATGAAAAGGGTAGCGGTCGTACGCTAATTACCATGTTTCTCTTTTATTAGTGTAGATAATTTATAAAGACAATAAGGGGGTTGCCACTGGGTATCCACCAAGAGGTCTGGGAGTCCCCACTATAGGTCCCCCCGACCCTGTTTGATACAGGAGAGGAAAGGGGATACTTATCATCAGTTGAGTGCTTACACCTCTCTCTCACTGTGTCATCCAGAAGCCTCAAGGTTCTGTATTATCACTATTGCTTGATGTAATACAAAACGATAAGGTTTAACAAGAGATAGCATTTGCTAAGTGCTTACTAAGTGCCAGGTACTCTTCTAAGAGTCTCCATGGACCATCACTACCTCTCCATTTACAGATGAGAAATCTGGGGCTCAGGAGTTAAACAACTTGCCTAAGGTCACCCAGCGAATAACGGGAGGGCAGCGTGCAGTGGAATTCCAGAGCGAGGCCCTCGGCCTTGGCTGTGCAGCCTCCCGATGGATCAGTTCACTCTAAAATGTATCATTCTCCACAATGAACATTCTCTCTTTCACCAAGAACTGAAAAATTTAGTGGTCAAATCAGGAGTTTCCAATCCAGAGTATGAGAGCTCTGTGGCCTTCAAAAACAAGAATAGTGCTCTGGCCGATGTTGTCTGGTGGTTAGCGTGCCAGCCGGAGCACCAAAGGGCTGTGGGTTCAATTCCTGGTCAAGGGCATGTACCTGGTTTGAAGGTTCAATCCCTAGCCCCGGTCGAAGCAGGAAGCAACCAATCTATGTGTCTCTTTCACATCAATGAATCTCTCTCACTTTCCCCTTCCCTCCTCTAATAATCTATGGGAAAAAATATCCTCAGGTGAGGATGAACAAACAAAAAAAGAATGGGTGTCTTTTCATAAAGACTAACAGAAAACCACCATTTCCTCCTGATACACTGCACAAGCTAAAATAGCAAGTTTCGTTGCATACGGCCAAAATTATATCAACTTTTAGAAACCCTGGTTATCTTCTTTTTTTCCCCAATTTTTTTATTGTGGCAAAATATACATAACCATTGTAAACATTTTAAAGTGTGCAATTTAGTGGCATTAAATGCATTCATAATGGTGTGCTACCATCACCACCATCCATCTCCAGGACTTTTTCCATCTTGTAAAATTTAAACTCTATGCCTATTAAACAATAACTCTTCATTTTGCACCTTCCTCCCAGCCCCTGGAAACCACTATTCCACTTTTTATTATCTCCTTCTAGTCAGAAATAATGCTTGTTCTTCATAGCATTACAATGGAAGACTGGAAAATGTATTGATTTTACCACTTACTGGCTATATAACCTTATGCAAAAAATGTTTAACCTCTCTGTGTCTCAATTCCAACAACTATAAAATGGGAATAGTAATAGTATCTACCTTGCAAGCATTTTAAAAGTTATTCAACATTAGATACTTAAACAGTGGCTGGCATGTGGAAAACAATAAATGCTTGTTTGCTGATGCTGTTGCTGTTACTTAAGCGCAGTTTAATTGATAGACCAGCGTCTTCCAATACATGGGACTCACGGAGAATAATAAAAGCGGTGTCTGGTGATGAAATTACTTTTCTAGAAACAAACAGAATAGCTTAGAACTAAGGCAAGAAAACAAATAACAGCAGCCAGAGATCAATACCTATTGCTATTATTTCACAGAGGAAAATCACCAGTCATTTTGCCAATAAAGCCTGAAATATAAACATGTTTTCTGAATTCTCTTTGCCTGTCATCCTTTGAACTCCTCAGCCCTTCTCAGCCTAAGGTCAACCTACCGCTGCACCTTTTCTCTGCCTCCAGGGAAGACAGGTAAGTTTCAGTGTGTGTGCCCACCCCGGTTAGTCAGTGGCAATCTCCCAGGGCTATGAGGAGTGTTCTGAGATGGGGTGTGTGTTAGTCAAGTCTGGCAGAAAATAACCACCATGATCATTGGAGATAAGCCTTAGAACATGTATTTCTATTTTCTTTCTCTTGCTACTTGGAATATATGCTCTTTTGTTTCCTTTCTGGAAACTGATATTCCCTAAGAGAGGCAGAAACAAAAGTGTGCCAACCCAAAATCTAAATTTGTGTTTGGTTTACTACAACGGAAACCTTTCTTTCCTCAGCTCTCATTTAGACTCAAAATTCCAAAGACTACGGAAGCTGAGACCCAGTCACTGATTGTACTAATGAGCTCAGGGAGCAAGGGACACTGGAGGATGTGCCCTAGCGTGATTTGAAGGTATCAGGAAGGTGTCTGCTGTCAAGGCTCTGACAGGGATGTGCCCAAGTCCCCTCGGGTAGCTCTCCCTTTAGTTACATAATCGTCTGACTCCCTCAGGTTACTGGAGTCCACTGCAAGGTGGGGAACTGAGCCCCCACTCACACCCACCCCACAGCAGGGCAGCTCTTTAATACCCGACAGGTGTGGAGGATAGCACATCTGCCCCTTCACCCAGTGGCCAGGACAACTCTCAGGCATGATCTACATGACTCCAGAGCTCCTCTGTGGGACTGAGCCCACATCCCCTCTGTACGACTGCCTGATACCACAGTCTCTCATGGCCTCCTTGTATTCCCCATCCCTTCCCATCCCAAACTCTCCTACAAGTCTTTTCCTAGGAACATTTCCTAATAAACCTGCCATTTTCATCTCAGGATCTGTTTCCTGGGGACTGGACCTAAGACAGTCTCCCTCACTCTCCACCAGAAACTGCCCTCCATGATAGTTAAGATCCTTCCCTTGGAGGTTTATTCCTTTTGCTTTAGGTTTGAACCCTGCTCACTGCAAGTTCCCTGTGAGAGGTCCGAGTTTAACCAGGTTTTCAGTTTTGACAATCTAGCCTGACCACATTTCAAGCCATTTCTTAAAACAAATTTATTTTGATTGACAGCAGCGTGAAGAAAAAGGAGTGGGAGGAAGCCACATCGAGGGGTGGAAAGCAGAAAGATATAGCCTCGAGGCCTGATTTCCTTACCTGTGATCTTGGGGACAAATTTATTTTGATTGACAGCAGCGTGAAGAAAAAGGTGGGAGGAAGCCACACCGAGGGTGGAAAGCAAAAAGATAAAGCCTCGAGGCCTGATTCCCTTACCTGTGATCTTGGGGGACAGGGGGACCCTAAGGTTCCTTCAGCTCTCATGTTCCACATTCTATGAACCTGAAGGATGAGAATGTTGCCAGCAAATGTTT